AACATGCTTCGTTCAGTTACGTAATTGCTATTCGATTTTGTTCTGTCGTCCATGTTCATCACAATATCAACTTTTAGTCAAGAGGCACTAAACTATACGTTATATATATATCATATATCAATACTCAGCCAGCAATTTCCGAGTTGAGTTGCCAACCGTCGTTTATTATATATGACTGATGAGTTTATCGGTATTTTATTGATGCTTGAGTTTCTATTGTTCATTATAGCCGTGTTAGGCAGATTATAAATAGGTATTTAGAAAAAGATGCAGTTGAGGTATGATTTTATTAAATTTCGAGCTGTGCTAAGGACTCATCACGGATCAGCTATGTATCAAGTTTTGGTTGGAAATCAGCTAATTAGGCTGAAAGATATAAAATATCTCACCTTAAAGTCGACGGGTCTGATCATGTTAGGATAGCTGAAAACCGACCTTTGTCAAAAATGTTCAATTTATATTTCTCTAATTGGGCTTTGTGTGCAGTTTCGTTGTATATTTTAAGAGCTTACAAATTTCATTTCACATAAAAGGGAATAGTTAGTCATCCAATATTAATTTTTAATTTTTTCTAAGCTTAAACATAATTTCGGCCATGTATATTGCAACTGACGAAGACCCTGTCGGTCTTATTTTCACTGCTTTTTCCATCAAAGCCGTATCTCATTAAAAACTTGTATAATCTTTGTTCCCAATTGGTCAGCTCTAGCAGGTTTATTAGCATAGTCAGTTGGTATGTGGTTCCTCTATAAATTTGATCTTACAGCGTCAAGTCACATGACCTAGAGCCAGTTGCTAATATCTTTCATGAGACGGTTCCGTTAACAAGAGTTATATATAATTATTTACTTATATATATTTATATTTCGACTGATAACTGACGAATGACATGCGTGATGTTTTGCTCCAAAGCCTGAATCGAAGCGAGATTGTCCGCATAGACTTTAGACTTTACGTATTCCCACAGGAAAATGTTTAACGGTGTGATATCATACGATCTTGGTGGCCAATCTTCCGACTTAAAACTTGACATTATCTGCTTACCGAAGTGTTCTCTTAATAAATCTATGGATTGATGAGATATGTAGGAAGTGGCGCCAGCTTGTTGAAACCAAATGTCACCGAAATAATGAATTTCAATTTCAGGCATCAAATAGTCGGCTATAATGGAGCTATAATCGTCGCCATTGACGGTTACCTTCTCACTGGAATTTTTTGTTTTGGAATAAATATGAACCGCTGATTCCACCGCCCCACAAACCACACGAAACCATCGTTTTTTCTTAATGAAATGCTATTTTGTTTGTTTACCTACCCATTGAGACAGAAATGGGCCTCATCGCTGAACAAAATTTGGCTCGAAAACGTCGGATCTTCTTAGAACATTGCAAGAGCCCATATAGCAAAGCGATGTTGCTTGGGAAGGTCGAGCGGCTTCAGTTTTTGCATAAGCTGTATTTTGTACGCTTGCAATTTAAGATTTCTAGGTAAAATGCGCCGAATCGACTCTCCACGGTCTTCGTCTACGTGCTGGACGTGGTCCAAAATAATGTAGTAGCCATGTTTAAACAGAATTTAGAGCATATACAGTCCTGTCTGATCTCGTTAACAACTCTCCGAATCTTTGTTCCTTTCTAGTTAGTCGTTGCTGGTTTACAAGCATAGTCAGCTGGCATGATTTGCTCTCTTGCCTTGGGACGATTCAGTCAACAAGATTTATTCATAGTTATATTATTTTTTAAGGCTCTATATGGCTTGTAACCACACCAGGGCTCCAAACCGGTTTTCGAACCGAGAAGCCTCTGTTTACTGGCCTGTAACCGAACAACAAACTAATCAGCATTTATTTTAAAATGCGAAAATCGACCCGGCAATGACTCATAAAAATGGTTCGGTTCGGTTCAAAATGAATTAACCCTTAATAACTTAGAGTTTCAATTTTGATACCAATCTTTTAAACCGAATGTTCACATTACTATTAGTTTTTTTTATAGGTTGGCTGTACGTATTTTACTGTTGTATAATATTCTTTCCAACGAAATTAAAAAAAAAATCAAATGTCATTATTGTTTCATTTTATCTATGACATATTACTCGCGTGGCAAAGTGAACAAGTAGACACACCCGGACAGGTGTACAAGTACTACCCTCTACTGACGTGCGTTGCGATTGTATTGGTCATGAAAAATATCTATAGTTCTAAAATATGGTTAAATTAATAAGTGTATGGAACTTTTGATAAGCACCTCATGCGCAGCTTCTGATTTCTTTATGGTTAATGCCTGAAGTATCAATGTGATACCAGTTTTTATTAATAAATATAGAAAATAAATATTGTGATTTTTAGGCTATCTCTTCCTTCATCTACGAACCTCAAGCAAACACGTAATATTAAAATAAATCACTTTTAATCAGGCTACTAAGGGTTATTAAATAATATACGACGTGAAAAACAGGCCCTTATGATGTAACATACAAATTCGTTTGAATGCAAATCCATGAGATTCCTTCGTGACAGTCTGCATTTGTCATACTATAAATTATTATACATTAAATGTTCAAAGTATTGCCATCGGAAATACGATGTTTGCCATCTTTCTGGCAGTTTGTGGATCCCATCCCAAAAATTTCTCCGGCAGAGGTCAGAAAGAATCAAAACAATACGTAAGCAT